TCAGGGGCTGAGGATATGGTGCCCTCCTTTCCAGTGTGTCCCAGATGCCTGTGGCTGAGGGCAAGAGTGTCCAGCAGACTGTGGAACTCCTTACCCGGAAGTTGGAGCTACTTGGGGCAGAGAAGGAAGGAACATTTTGTGTGGACTGCGAGACTTACCACACAGCTGCCTCTACCCTTGGTAGCCAAGGTCAGGCCAGGAAGCTGATGTATGTGATGCACAACTCAGAATACCCACTGAGCTGTTTCGCCCTCTTTGAGAGCGGCCCCTGCCTTATTGCTGACACCAACTTCGATGTCCTCATGGTGAAGCTCAAGGGCTTCTTCCAGAGTGCCAAAGCCAGCAAGATTGAGACCCGAGGCACCCGTTACCAGTACTGTGACTTCCTGGTGAAGGTGGGCACCGTCACAATGGGGCCCAGTGCCCGGGGCATCTCTGTGGAGGTAAGACCTTGGTAAAATGCAAACTGGATGTGTGAGGGCTCTGAAGATTCCCAGTCCTCTCACTTCCAATGCCTACCACATCCTTGACTCCTGAGCAGCTGTGCTTCTTCTTTAATCTTTTACTCTTTCTTTAATCATTCAGGGAGTCCAGCCCAGGATGCAAAGTGGAAAGCTGGGTTCTCAGTGGTGGAAAGTTTAGGAAGGCTGGCTTACTGGAGAAGAGAAGGGATAGTCAAAGAAAAGTGGGGAGTTTGATGTGTAGAGAACAGTTGATTATTCCAAGAGGGACTGAAGCAGACCCCAGACACCTCGAGCAACTTTTGGAAGGGGGGCTCTAAATCATGCATCCACACACCATGTTCTTTCTTCTTTTTTTTTTTTTTTTTTTGAGGGGGTTTTTTCTATTCGGCACATGCACCAGAGAGACAGAGAGACAGAAAGTGAGAAGTCACCCCCCAGGGGAAATGGCCACACCGCATTCTCTTCTCTTCCCTTCTCCTCTTGGGATCTTGGGCACACACACACACAAACGCCCGGTGTGAGTTTAAGCTACCTGGTCCGGGACTCGAACCGCGGTCGACTGCATGCGAGTCCAGCGACATAGCCATTACACCATCTGCTGGTCCCTGCCTGTTCTAAAGTACATCTCAAAACTTGTGGGGTAAAGACGTAGTTTTCTTTTGATGTGTCGCCCACTTCCTTTCATGGTGCAAAGGAGCATATATGGGAGATGACTTCGTGAAGCTTAAATATACACGAGAGAGGTCGTAAAGTTCATGGAATAGACATATTAATGAAAAAACTGCACGAATTTCAATTTTTGGTAACAAAATTAACTCATACATTCCATTTATCCATAATTTTTTTTTTTTTTTTTTTAACAAGAAATTTTTGCTATAGGGCATATGTGCTCACTGGAGAGACAGAGAAAGCGAGAAATCACCCTCCGAGGGGATGGCTATGATGTAGTCCCTTCTCCTCCATTCTCCTCTTGGGAGTTTGGATATGCATGTACATTCGCCCAGCATGAGTTTTAAGCTGCCAGGTCTAGGACTCGAACCGTGGCCAACTACGTGGGAAACCAGCAATGTAACCATTACACCCTCTGCTGGTCCCTATCCATGAATTTATTAAGTCGTCTTCTATCCTGGGATGGCAAAAAGGGAGTGTGGCAGTAACTGGCCCCTGGGGACCAGCAAAAGCAAAGCCTGCCACTTTTCACGTGCCTGGGAATGTGTGCATAAGCTTACAGGGCCTTTTTTCTTTTTTAGGGGTCGTGTACTCACCAAAGACAGTGAGACATCACCCCCCTTCAGAGGGAGGGGTGGACATACAGTTCCTTCTGTTTTCCTCTCAGGATTTTGGGCATGCACGCACATGGCATGGTTTTCAAGGTGCCAGGTCTAGGACTTGAACCACACAGCTAGTCATGTGGGATCCAGCTGTTTTAACTGCCACACCACTGCTAGTCTGGGCCTGCCTTTGGAAAATCTATGATTTAGTTAAGAGAGCAACTCTGAAACTATTTTTGATGTTTGTCTAAGAAATGCCATAAAAGGGACCAGCAAGTGGTGGTGGTTAAGGTGCTGGACACTCCCATGTGGCCAACCATGGTTTGAGTCCCAGACCTGGTGGTTTGCTTTCTCACTTTCCCTCTCCTGTTCTTTCTCTGTGTATCTCTGATCAAATTAAAATAAATGAATGAGTAAATAAAATTAAATAATTTTTTTTGAAAAAAGAAATGCCATAAAAGAGGCATAGTTACTCTGAGAATTCAGTCCAGTGAGAACTCTCTGCTCTCTTTGGGATAAGGATCAGCTTTTAAGTAGGGATTTAAAATGCAGACACAGGATGGGTAAGTCTAGAAGCGCTCCAGCTAGAGAAAACACATTAGTAGCAGATTCTGCTCCGGACCCTTTAGGGCCTGTCAGCTTATAGCATACCTTGAGCTTGCTGAGACTGGGGGCACTTCCAACCTCATAGCATAAACACACCCAGATGTTTCTTTACTTATTTCTACTATGGTTGCCAGAAGCCCCCCCCCCTTCTCCAGTGAAAAACTAGGAGAGGGGGATGAGAGCACCAGAGAGCTGTACCGTTGGGCCGTGCCACTCTGGGAATGTCCGTCTTGGGATCGGAGCTCAGGCAGGGTATTCCCTGGGAGTCTTGTTTGGTCTCACGAGACTCACGGGCACGTGTCTGCCTACATGGTGTCTACCTGCCCGCCCACCCCACACATACTTTCTTTTCCTTCGCTGTATCTCAGCACTTTCTTGAGCTCTCCTTAATCTTCACCTAGTACAGCAGGGACTGCACAGTCCTGAGTTGATCAGATGAGGCCTAGGTCTGCATCTGGGTCTCGCCAGGAGGGCTGTGGGCTGGCACTACCCTTGGATGAGAATTTCAGGCACCTGTAGGAATGCTTCTGGGTGTGAATCCCTGGCATTTGGGTTGGATACATCTTGTAGACCAGTGCTGTGTTAGAAGGTACACGTCTTCAGCTCGGGGTTGGGGAGGATGGGAGCAGGGGCAGGAGGCACAAGAAAAGCAGACTTGTTCCTGCCCTTACTCACCGTCATTCTGCTCTTTCGGTCCCCAGGTGGAGTATGGCCCTTGTGTGGTGGCTAGTGACTGCTGGAGCCTGCTGCTCGAGTTCCTGCAGAGCTTCCTAGGCAGCCACACACCAGGTGCCCCTGCTGTGTTTGGGAACAGACACGACGGGGTCTACGGG